ATACCGTAAGTGTGTGCTTTTAGATTGAGAGTCGAGTTTTTACAGTATATCATTTAGCAAAACAAACAGATTTTGAAAAATGAAAAGCGTCTCACAATAAAGAGAAGTAGTGATAAATTAGATAAAATCAACTGTTTCATTTGTTATGTTATCCAACAACCTTATATTCTATGTGAAGCTAGTCATGTTGATCAACTTTTCTGATGTTACGCACCTTGCTTATCATTGACATTATTTTTTAGGCCACAGGAACAAGCTGCTGATTTTTACGATTGATATTCGTCTAAATATTTTGTTTATTCTGTTTTCAGGTTTCGACAATAAATGGAATTTGAAAATATGATATTTTTAAGCTATTATTTGATTGCACACCTACAAATCGCTGTTGAAATCATTCATTAGCGTAAAGCGTTAGGCTTATTTATATTTGTCACAACTAGTTGTGAGTCAAACTAAGCCTATCAAAGTGTATGAATCTAACGGTTCTTTAAATTGCAGGAGAGAGAGTACACCAAACACAATTTCAAATTAGATTTTATGCCTAAGATAATAATAATGTATATGATAAAATCTGTTGTTGAATTTGCAGATCTTAATTATTGTCATCATCATCTTCATGAAATCATTTTGACATCAATAGAGTTATTTACAGATCTACCTGTAAAAATGAATCAAACCATAATCTTTTCAGGATACAAATGTATTTTAGATATGCTTCATCTACATTCAAATAGTTCGAACCATTGGATTTGAATTTTTTCTTGTCAGTGTTTTTTTTACCAAGTTAATTTTCTAAGGATGAGTTTGCCGACCCTACACGTAACCCTCCTCCTTTATCCAGGCGGAGTTGTTTGGACGGTTGATTACTAAGTTATTCTATCCCCTGACATTGAGTTCATTTTATGAAATTATATTGATGGATAAGGCTTTTTGAGATAATCCTACTTTTAGAGTCATTTTCGTTGTAGATCGATCTCTGAGTTGTTAGTGTATATCAGAATGTATTTAAAAGTTATTTCTTCCCACGTTTAAGACTCTGAAAGCGTCACTAAACATCCCAACAGGGCTCGAAGTCTCCCACTAGGTCGCTGAAATGGAGTTCACCAACAAAATGTCAACTTCAACTAATATGAAATATAATGCGATAATCATTTGATGTCATTGATGATACGTCCTTTCGTAAGTTAGTTGACCGAAATAAACGTATTAATTGTGTATGAAGTCATACTTTGATTGATTTCTATGTTAGAAGTTCTATCTGATATTATAAGGCCAACAAGACTTCGACCTAAAACTCTTAGATTGAAGTATCATTATAAAATCTGATCAGGAATGAAGTAAAAATATAAACAGTTATAGGGGTATGTAGTTTAGTATTTTCAGGTTTTAAATGATGGTCTAGGCACGATGAGTTCATGATTAAAATGTAATAAACTGCAATCCTGCCATATCTTTCCGTACTAAAATAATACTCATTTACTGAAATAGTTTGCTCAATTATTATTACACTAGAGTTTGGAAGTAACAGTGCTTTAGATAAATTAATTATACAAATATTCAAGCTATTATTTCATTGTGTATGTTTGCATTTTTTATTTGTCCCCAAATCCAACATCTCGAAACCTCTCAGACAAAGAATTCATAAACGTAAGTATTTAAAAAAAAAGTAACTTTTATTCACTTTTCATCCAGAATTTTTCTTCTAAGGTTGATTGACGTTGACATCACTTTTAAGTTTAATAATTTTGAAAATATGATTCTCTGCTGAGCGTTTTCTTCTTCTCTGCTTTAACTAAACTGAAAACTTCTATGGGTTAAAGTTCTACAGAAAATACACACCTTAGCAAGGAAATATTTATGAAATTCAGAAATGTAGTAGAATGAAGTAACAATACTTTGGATTTAATGTCGAATAGATTTCATTGGTATTTTTCATTGAATGAAAATGCAAGCAGATGAAATCGGAATAATCAGCGTTTTTCAGAATAATCGATGCTCAAACAATATGACTGGATATTTTAAAATAACAGGTTCATGAGTTGTTTGAATTGATGAAATTCCAATTTTAAATTGTCAATCGACCTCAGTAGTAATCTTGAAGCAGTAGTTGTAGTGTGTGTGTAGTGTCTCCACATAAACTTGAGTTCGCTCATATTTAATTTGATTAAGCCTTTTCGATTAACTTATGTAACCGAGCTATTTGTATAACAACAACCCATATGTACACCATTGGTATTTTTCGTCTTGTTTGTATGAGCTTGTACGACTGAACACTGTTCATCCTATTCGCTTTAATGTTAATCTCCTTAAATACCCCGATGACTCAGACACTTTCCTTTTATATACTCGAAAATTTTAATCTTATTGATTTATCCGCCCATTCGCTCGCTAGTGTGCCTGCCTGGTCTGCTGGTAGTTTGCTGATGATCGTTTGTGGTGTGCCAAAAATAAACGTATTCAACACTTCGAGTTCATCTTCTGATTTATAAACCGTCAGACGCCATTTAGTAACGATTGTCTGGACGAGCTAATTACGAAGCCTAAGAACACGCAGAAATTGGCCATCACACGTACAAGCAAGCGATAATGGTCAAAAGAATTATACAGACAGTAATGCAGTGCTATGGTGTGAGGGTATGTATGTTTAGAATTGGTTTAGATCACAACAATTACTAAGTTCAGATAAACAGATAATTGACATACAGCTACACAACTATGCAGAAAATGTGTTTCCCTATTGCTTTAGAAATGAGTCAATATGAAATAAGAACAAAATAACCGATAGAATTCTAGTGACCTATGATTAGCATGTATAATTACAAACTCAAAAACACCTGTAAATCTTCCCGTATACATTCATCCTAGTTAAACAGAAATTATGTAAAACTAGAAACTGAGTTATACATAAACAGGTAATTTATTGATCCATATTAACTTTCTTATATTCTGTCATTTATTTATCAATAAATAATTTACTAGGAAGACTGATTATTCTTTTTAAAGGTAAGTGTAATGCTACTCAGGGAAACAGCTCAAGTTTATTTTCAGATGGTGGGGAAAATTTGTAGCTCAGGTGGATGATTGTGGTGGTGTTTCATCCTCTGAGCTGGACATTTTGGTTGTGAAGCTTTCATTGTTCTTCCGAACAACATCGTCAGCACAAACTTCAGTCCTGAATATCGACAGCTGGATAATTCAAACCATTTCTAACAATTATAAAATATTGAAATCATCAGTCAGTCATTGTTAGACCACCATTAGAAACATGGAAGCACCAGACGGCCGTTTTGTCCTGTTGTTGGACTCGTCAGCAGTGCGAATCTACGACTCCTGCAGGATTCAAACCTAGGACCTTTGGTCTTACGCGCCAACGCCTGACCTCCGAACCACTGGACTGGCATCCAACCGTGTTAATGTGTAAGTCTGATCAATCTACAGATTTTACGCGACCTCACCCATTTGTCCTTGGTAGTCTTGGATGCGCACTGCTGATGAGTCCCATATCAGGACGAAACGGCTTTCCAGTGCTTCCACGTTTCTAATGGTGGTGTAACAATGATTGATTGATGATTTCAATGTGCAATAAACACTAATCTCTTTGACTCTAATCGAAAAATGATAAAATAATAATTTTATCTAGAACAATTACAGAAACCTTCAAAATTGAACTACTCAGCTCGATGAATACAAAAAAAAGACAATAAATCATCCATTGTCTTCCCAGTCCATTCAAAATTTCAGGAAAAAATACTGTAGGATACTATTGACCGGATTAGACAGTATTTTTTGTTCTAGTTAGTTTCAAATGTCTTACATTTCAATCTAGTCTCCGTCTATACATCATATAAGTATCATCATCATCGACACAGAATTTTCACATTTTGCAAGATTTAATTATTGACTTGGAATAGGTAAGAGTGTGGTTTGTATTGGAGTTTAGACAAAATCGAAATTTCAGTGAAAATATGAACGAATTTTGTTACAACTTAAATTAATAGTATTCATTTTGTTTATATTAATAAAAACAATTACCTCATATAAATAAATAAATTAATTAATTAAATGTACTTTTCAAATCTATGTTAAAAGCCATAAATGATCAAAGTGATTGATTTCATTCACGAGTTGTGTTTATTTATCATAAATCATGACATTAATTAATTTATTTATTTACTGACTGGTTTGTATTTTTCATGATTTCAACAGTAGTTTATCATCATTATTCGGTTGGCACGTTGCCAAGAGTGTTTTTTTTTAAAAAACGTTTCAATTTGACACTGTTTCATAACCTAATAACGTCTTGGCAGTTAATTTTCAAGGACAACCGTAAATTTGATGAGTACTCTCGTACATTAAATAAATATATATATTTATATTTATTGAAACCATGAATCGATCAATGTTAGACCACCATTAGAAACCTGGAAGCACTGGACGGCCGTTTCGTCCTGGTATGGGACTCATCAGCAATGCACATGCACGACTCCTGCACCCCGCAGGATTCGAACCCAGGACCTTTGGTATTGTGCGCGAATGCCTAACCATCGGACCACTGAGCCGGTATCTAACAGTGTTAATGTCTAACTTGATCAATTCAAGGAGCTGCGCAACCCCATACACAGTCTTCGGTAGATACTGACACACCCGAACAGACTGAACTTCACTAAGCACGTCTTCGATTCATGGTTTCAGAAATGTGTAACTTAACAATCTTCACAACCCCGTAATGCATGTATATGTATATATATCATTTATTTTCCCAACTGTTCATTTAAACTGACTAGTGAAAAAGATATTTGGAATCGTTACTGTTGGCTTGTTGTTTGACGTCAACTAACTATTCAACTGATAATGCTGTCCAGATGATAGTAGACAATGACAGTTTTGACATATAAATTACCTATCATTTAGAGAAAAAAAAATGCAATTTCGCTTCAATTAACTCTACATAACATTAGTATCAGTTAACTATAATTAGCTGATAAATTGAAAAGTTAATTTATATATATATAAATGTATATTTATTGCTCTTTTTTTCGTGAAATTGTTCTACTGTAAATAAATGAAATCAATGAACTATTGGAATTTTGAAATTACGATTACAATTTATTGCAACTGCATCAGTCTAATGAGCGGTGGAGAAGGGCAAAGGGGGCTGTTGTAGCAAACGACAGTAATGTGAGATGGCCAATGATAGACAACAATCATCAATGACAACAGTACAAAACAGGATGTAAATAGGAAGGAAATTAGGTTGAGGCAATGACATGAAACATTAAAATAAAATTAAATAAAATAAATAGACTCTTGATGATTTTTTCCCACAGTTTAAGAGAGAAAGAGCGGCAGAGAGAGAGAGAGGGCGAGAGAAAGGAAAATAATAAGAAAGACGTTCTCAAATATATATCAAAATCAGGTAATTTGATCGTTTAGAATTTGCAGTGAAATACTAATTTGATAAGAATAGAATACTTTTCTTTCAAAATTGATTGGGTACATTTTGTTTTTGAAATGAAGAAAAAAATAAAATCAATGAACGAATTGCATAGTTTCATAGGCTTCTCATTCATTATCGACTAGAATTACAATCAATGTATGCAGAGAGAGAGAGAGAGAGAGTGATTTAAAATTATTCCTGAGTGTTATATTATTTTATTGATTAAGTCTGTTGTGTGAATTAGGGCTTTTTTTCTGTGTACACAAAGTAAAAGAAATGTGCAACGAGTAAACTATAATAGTATATCAATGAATTAATTGAATGAATCTGGCTACTTTCTCAATGATTAGATTAAGTTTCGAATGAAATGAAGTTGCATGTTTTGTTTTGTTTTGTTTTGTTTTTTTAAACTCGAAATGAACATCTTACTGAACGTGAACCAATGGGACAGATCGGGCGAAAGTTATCAGTTTGACCACACGATACACAGTTTGCATGCATTTGTCGTAATGTTTCAAGCTGATTTAAAATTTAAAAAAAAAAGCAATAAATGAAGATATTTATGTGTATCTGATTAAAGACATTGATATAAATAAAAACTGAATATATCAGAAAGAAGTTAAATTATTTCATAATTGGTGATTTTAACTGGAGTTGAACTATAGTTTTTTTTTGTCGGCATATGTGTATCCTTTGCTAGACAGCCATTTTATAAAAGTTCCTATTGACTACAAGTAATTTTGACTAGCAGTTTTACTCTAATTGAGACTCATTGGTTTGGATGCGCCTGCATCTCAGTGACTTAACAAACACATTTGCTAAGTAGATCATTTATGTGACTTTTGAGTTGAAAACTTTTAGGGTTAAGTGCCAGTGTGAACATTTCCGCTTGGATGCAGGTATATCTAGCTAATGAATCTAAAACAGGACGAAACGTTAGTTATTACTGCCATTCTTAATCACCAATCCGTCTATTATTTAGGAAACCAAATACTATTTAGCAAAACAACGAAAACAAGTACATGAATTATAATTTGTTCTTAGTGTTAATAGCAATTTTCGCCGAAAAGCAAATAAATGTTATTTGCATTTGTGTTCAGAAGAAAATTTGTCTGTTATATAAACATTCGTTCTAATCTGATATTTTATTGGAAATCAAATAAAAAATTAGTCGCAGTACCAATGATTTAAGAATGACGGGTTGACGATGATAACTGAAGATATTTATTCCAAGTCTACTATTGGATGACTGGTACTCAGTGAAAAGATTTCTGACTGATGCTTCATGGATTTCATTGTTTCTTTAAGCTGTGCATTCAGTGATTGAATGGAACTCTGAAATAAGTGAATTTTAAAAACCCCACTTTCGTGTAAAATAGTTTATTTAAATTATTTTATTGGAGATTGAATGTTTCGTCATGAATCCAGTTTATACATTTGAAAAGAATGCTATCACAATTTAACATTTATCATATTAGCATACAAATACGCGTTTTTCTCTCCCAGAGCTACAAATTCTCTCCATTCTATCCTTCTCATATAATTAAATCATTTATTCACAAAAACAATTACGAAATCTAAAAAAACAACAACAACTCAGTTTTCAATTCTCCAGTTGAAATCATTCAAATAAAATCAGAATGGATAAACAACAATTTGATGAAAAAGTGATTTGAAAAATTCCCATTCGATACAAACCGATTCGATAAACAACAGAGCAAATGAAAAAAATTGAATAAAAAGGAGAAAACAACAAACTATCGCGATGATTTATTTATTCTTCCCAGTTAAGATTGTATCATTGATGATAAATAAATAAGTTAGCGACACTCACAATTGTACATTGAATGAATTGTTTCAAATAATAAAATAAATAAATGGTTTAGTTTTTCATCAAGACAACAAAGCATCAATGAACCAGTTGAAGGAAATTTATTTAAATGTGAATCTATTTACTGTCAATCATTTATTGTTATGTTCAGTTAATTTTGAAAATTTTACGCAGTTGATGATTATCTAATCAAATTGAATATATATATCACCGGGAAATTAGGTTTATTAGTCTCCAGAGTATACGTTTACTCACTTTTAGTTCAGTTTTACTTTTGACTTGTTGTTTAGATATATATATATATATATATATATATATATATATATATGAGAACTTTCAATAATTCAGTGACTTCACTCGTGAAAATCTATTTTCAAAACACGAATAGTTAATTGAAGTTAGAATATGCAGTCCATTAGTTTGCTGAACAATGATTTTACTGTTTGTAAAATCATATAAAACTGTTTAGTTGTATTCTTTGTTCAGTAGTGTTGATTGGGTTTTTGGGATTCAGAATTTTTGCTTATAAGCTGTGTTTATGATGTTTGATTGATTTGGCAGTTCGATAGAGGACTTTTAAAAAATGAGTTACTTTCAGGGCTTATTTTGTTTTAGATTCATAGTGCGACTGTTTTTTAACGTTAATTAGTTAGCAATATATAGATGACATCATCGAATGTCACAACTCTCCACCTTGTATATACGAAGCAAAATCTCAGTTGGGAAAAGATTAGTTTAGTATGTGGATAGATATTCATGGTGGGTTGGCATGAATAATTGTACTAGTGAAGCCAGAAAGTACTAGACACTTGTATGAACTGAGGCGAAACAGCTATTCTGTACCTCCTGTTTTCAGATGTTAGACAAACGGATGTCAAGTCGTTAAAAATGGAATCAGTTGTCGGATTGATGATTTCTTGCACATATATTAGTAATTTACTCAGGACCTACTCGACTTTATCATCACATTTTATGCATGTGATTAATTCCTGCATAATTTTTTTCTAATTTTCTGCTATCAGTTTTTATTTCAATTATTAGATCCAGTTCTAACTACAAAAATTTGATTCAGGTACTTATTTTATTGTTTTCTTCTGTTTGGAAATGTATAGCATTATCAATAGACACACATGTCCAAGGTTTATTTTACTGATCATTCGACCTGAAGGTCCTAGGTTCACTCCCTAGTGGTGAATGTACACTACCGAAGAGTCCCATGTTAGGATAAAATAACTATCCGCTGTTAACTAATATCACCTTGCATTCTTCCCTGTATTTTTTTAAACAGTATACATATACCTGCAACTTTTACATTTCTTTTAGTCATTACCAAAAATTTACGTTTGTAAAATCTTTAAACGATTCACAGAAAAGAAATATTCTATGTACTTAAGCAGGGAAAGCATAAATTGTTCAAAATTCACACATGTTAAATCTTCTAACATTATTATATGTTTTCTTATCCAATGGAATTCAGTTTTATAAATTTAGACAATTTTAGATATCATATTATCTATAAGACAGACACAATAATCACAATTGTTTTTAGTTCGAAGGTACTAGATAACTATTAACGGAAACTTTTTGTCAGTGCATATTTTCAAAGCAGAATTGTGTAAATTTATTATTGTCAGTAGTAGTTTTGCATCTAAGATTGAATTCACTTAACAGAACCATTGTAAACCATGTTGAAGTGAATGAGTGTTTGTTTTGTCTTTAGTAGGGAAGCACTTTTATAGTGAACCTCTCTAATCCAGCTTATGAAAAAAAGTTAAAAGTTATAAATGTACACCACAGTGCTATCGGGCCTCGATACAACTTCTGTTTTGGGCAGCCTGAAAATTCATACGATAGAAATAAAATATTTGATCTGTTTTGAGTGGTTGTTGAAGTTCTTTTAACTCAAACCAGTTCTTGATGTGAAACTATGGAATTTCCGAGTAGAGAAATATGATGTTCTATAGATTATTGTGTTTGAGAATTCGACAAATAAACTTCAGGAGTCTTAACACAGATATACGCTAACAATCATATAACATAGAGAGTATGTAATGAAGTATGTTAGTGGAAAGAAATTGAACTTTCCAATATGATATATCTGAAGAAGTACTTTCTGTGCTAACAAAAGCGAAACATGATCATAGGCAAAAGAATATTAAATAAACTGACTAGGAGAACTTTAGTTTAAATGTCATGGTGTGTAGTCTAGAATTGTATGATATACAATTTCTTCAAAAAGGTTAGTCTAATCTGAAGACTTGTATAGCGAAAAGATCTTTACTTAATTACGCATAGAGCATTCAAAAAAACAAACTGAAAACATAAAATTCATTTCAAGCATCATTTACACGTTTTACTAAAGACAAAAACATCAAACGCCTAAGACGCCAAGTTTTAAATTTATTCAACCGCAGCATTTTTTGCCAGCTCAAAAATTGGGTCAATCAAAAAAGTTTACAAATTTTTTTAACATAAATAGATTACTGAATCGACGTTTACATAATTTGATGGCAATTAAATTCGGACAGTTTGTCATTCTTATTCAATATTTATTGTCTGTAATTGAAATGATTTGTCATTCGATATTAATTTGTGATGATGTACTCAAGAAGTCACGTCATTAAATGAGTCACTTACACTAATTCATTTGAAGATGAATAATGTTTCATTGTAACTCATTGTAATGAGTAATCAGTATCGAAAAGTGTTTTTTACAGAACACAGACATGTCTGATAAATATAAGTTAAATTTAAGCTGTCCAGTTAAGACTTTAAATTGTTATGTAACAATGTAAAAAGAATAAAATTGTTCTAATGATATTTTCAGTGTGTTAGAAGTGGTTTAGTAAAATTCAAAACCGATAACTTCATTATTTAAAGCAATTATAATTCAATCTTTCGGAGCGCTAATGAGAAGCTATGACTAGAGGAGTTATCGAGTAAAGGTAATGTGGATGATAGTCACGCGATATCGGCATATCATAGAGTGATTAGGATAAGACGTTACATCGTTGGATGCTGGCTCAATGATCGAGAGGTAGAGAGCTCGTGCATGAGACCAGATACCCTGAATCGATTCCCGCTCGTGAGGTTGTGGATGATCACTGCCGATGAGTCTCATACTAGGATGTAATGGCCATTCAGTGCTTGAATGCGTATCTACTGAAACTTCTTATTTCGGGTGTATTGTGTTCTAGCAATTCCCTTATACATATATGTGCTCGTTTGAATCATGAAGAAGTAGTATACAGTAGAGAAATTCACCTGGAGCCCCTCTGTTGCTACTGCCGGTGCCAAGCCCTGATAAAGTAGGAGATTTGGGCATAGGGTTGTGATCCCATCCCATAGGTAATTAACTTGCTGAAAAAAAGCTAAGCAGAAGGAAAATCATCTTCTGTTCGGACACTGGGTTAGATAGAAGTGAAGGAACAACAGGAATTCTGTGATCTGTTGCTGCGGTAACACTGACAAAGTAAAAGGTCACTAATGAACATGTTAGTAAGTGTCTAAGATAATAATCTCCTACGATGAGTGACTCAACCATTCGGGGACAGATCAAAGGCCGATTTAAAATTATAACACAAGTAACTAGCTTGTTCATTGAAACAAACGTGAAAATATTATTATACAGCGTTAGTTGGAACGAAATATTTTGAAATCGAAATACATCTTTAACTGCACAAGATAGTTTTCCGCTCATTATTTTAAATCGTGAAAGAAGACATAGATATTATGAAAAGTGAAATTATCGGATATTCAACAACCGTTAGGTCAGATTATCAGTAAATACTGTTCTACTACGTTCATCTTATTATGATCGTCAATATCTCGTTCTGTGTATCATCGGCAAGTATGCGATTCATCGGATTGAAATTCATGTCTGTCTATCAACTCGGTTGTGAGCCTTGAACAAAGATGAAACAAATAACCAGTGCTTCTAGATTTTCAGTGGTTGTTTATTTCTATATATTTAAACAGAAAATGTTAAAAGGCATTAAAAAAAGAAAACAATAAATAACTCACTTGATCAATAGTCATCACTACCGGTTCATCCAAAACAATCCATGTGACACATTCATTACACGGTGGAGTAGTTAATGATCCAGAATAGGTATAGTATCTAGATAAATCATCTGGACAAAAAATTTTAAAAGAAAAATAATGTAAGATATAAGGAAAAACAATGATTTACTACTATGTGAAAGTGGGTCCGATAAACTATGAAAGAAATTAGCTAACGTCGTATGCACAACATTTTATTTATGCAATGTGTCGCATCTGCAATTCTCAGTCATATTCTTGTTAAATTAGTGAACGACTGTGTTGCAACGCATGGAATTCGCAATAAAGATTTGATTGCTAAAGTCTAGAGTTATCTGAAATTATCTGGCATGTCAGAGTTTGAAATAAAATTGAAAATCAACAATTACACAATAATATGTAGCATGTATTTACTGAATGAACGAAAATTTGATCACAATAACCGGGAACAGCAAAGTTTTGAGATATATAATAAAAATATTACAAATAACAACAGTTAGAAACCTTAAATGAACTAGTTTCAAAATTGAAAAAAAAATGACAGATTTTGAAATAATGGTGATGGGAAAGATAAAACATTTCAAAATTACTCAGTTAAAATTGAGATTCATGTCACATGGTAAAAAAGGAGTAGAATCACATTGTGGGTCGACTGATGACCAAAGACAGAAATGAAAATAAACTAAATTGATTATATATGCTCGATCGAAAACAAATATGCCACAATAAAAAAGTTTTTTTGGAATTTCACTTTACACTGAAATATTTCTTTATTTCATGTCTACAGTTTAACAATTTGATGACCTTACTTTCTAAAGTGTGAAATGAATTTATTGATAGAGGAACAAACCTTCATTTTTCATGATTAGTTTGTTAAATCAAGTTGTTTTTCATTCCAGTTTTACATATATAAATATTCTGTTATTCCGTCTAGTTAGTTTTCGATTTGTTTTTGTCAAAATTTATGATACTAAAATGTCACAGACATTGTTAGACTCAGTTTGATTCATCCACGGATATTAATAAAATAACCATTAAAAAACCTGAAGACATTGAACAGTGCTTTGTTTATCATATGATACTTCTTAGGAATGCATGTTGTTGAACTTCAGAAGTTCGCGTTTCCCGAAACTGTCCTGATTAGTTTGTAAAATTAAAGCTACATAGAATGAGATTGTTTCAAATCCCACAATGAATAAAAAACAATATTTACACATTAGAAATAATCAATCAATCATTGTTAGACCACCATTAGAAACCTGGAAGCAATGGACGGCCGTTTCGTCCTACTATGGGACTTATCAGCAGTGCGCATACACGATTCCTGCACCTCACAGCATTCGAACCCGAGACCTTCGGTATCGTGCGCGAACGCCTAACCATCGGACCACTGGACCGGCATCCAACGGTGTTAACGTCTAACTCTGACCTCACCCATTTGTCTTTGGTAGTTACTGCGTACACACGACAAGGTTGAACTCCAGTGGTCACGTCTTCTCAATTAGAAATCTGAGAATTTCCTCACGGAGTAGTCGATGCGCACTGCGGATGAGTCCAATACCAGGACGAACCGCCCGTACACTGCTTCCAGGTTTCTAATGGTAGTCTAACAATGATTGATTGATGATTTCAAATGTGTAGAAACACAAACCTCTAAAACTCTGCCTGAAAACCATATTTGTATGCCGAAATTACATAAAATTTCAATCATTGCATATGTATGTACTTAATTTATGTTTTAAGTCCATAATATACACTTGAAAACTAATATTGATGCATATTCACATTCCTTTTGCATTTTTGCATAAACCAGTTTCGTTATTAATAAATTAAACATTGAGTTTTGTACGTCAAATCTTGAATTACATTTAGCGGACGGTGAAAAGAAATTTTGCTGAAGGCAAAACCCCTGCTTTATTCCAATCAATTATTATTGGGTAACTCTAAACTTTCCAAGCAGAAATTTGATTCCATTGAAATCTTCTAATTAAATTTTGTCTTCACTGTTACATATAAGACAAAAAAAGAGAAAGTGTCAGTGTCATGAGTATGTCGGAAAATGTAACTCTAGATTGAAGAATTTTAACCGACAATTAAAAAAAAACACAATAAAAAGTTGTTATCCACCATACACTGTTTTCAACTAACTGTTGACCAGAAGAATTTCAGGAAAAAAACATTTCACCGTAAATTTGAAATACTAGAGTAAAAGTCAACTATTTATCATTAGTAAAAAATTCTGTAATATAAGACAGGAAAATACTGGAAGAAACCTATTATTTCATAGGAAAGAACTTTAAAACAATTCACTGTGGATATTGTTCACCTAATAATGTGATATGATTTACTGAAGCTATATAATCAGTCGTATTTATTAGTGGTCAAAAAAATATCTGTTTGTTAAAATTAAAAGAGGCTATAATAACCTATAGTGTTTAAAGATTTTAAATCTTTCCTTCTTGAAGAACGCTCCTTTTGGGGACGTCCCATCCCCAGAACTCACTTGATAAAGGTCCTAATTTCGGATTTTATGTTTTAGCGCATGGGCTGACCAATTGACTTTGAAAATATATTTACCATTCGGAAAATATTTGGCTGTTATTGGTCGAAGTATTATTTTAGTACGCAATTTTTGTGGCCCTCTCAAGGATGTGTCTATGATGTATAAATAAACTTGATTTGTGTGCTTGTAAACCTCGATTTTCTGGGTGCTTGTAGAATGTACTTTCTACGCCATATTAAGACTTCTTCCTCTAGTTAGTGGGGCCTTGAGACGCTCGAAGTAGAGTAGCTTATTGTGTCACTGAATCATTTGTCCTCGACTTAAGTGAACTCATAATAAGTTTCAAGCATATCAGCTGACGACCATAACAGCTCCCCATTAAAATCTCTCTCTTTTTGCAGATTTTAAAACGACAATCCAATCAAGTTAATATACCAATCAACTGGTAGTTTGTTAGGGATTACAAATTCATAATCGTTTTTATTATTGAAAACAATTTTTGAATAATTACCAGTATAATTAACGTCCACACAAATCATGAGTTCATTGTATGAATTTCTTAATTATACTAATATTCTAATTCTTTATATTCCTCAAAAAAAAGATCATATTCAATGAAAAGCAATATTTTGCTTCATTCATTGAAAGCGTTTAAAATCTTTTGATATATATATATATATATATATATATATATATATATATATATATATGAGAGATTTAAAAAATTTAAAATTTAAAAAAATGATTGCTTCAAATAAAGATTTTTTTATTGATCAAATTTTTATTTTATTACCGAATTCATAAAATTCATAAGACAAAAAAATTCTTTGCTAAAAATCATGAAGATAAAATTTCAAAGAATTTGTAAGGTAGAGCGATTGTACAAACTAACTTTTTAAGGTGATGGGACAACACAATTTTAGGTTTCGGTAAACAAGTAAGGATTCGACTAAAGATTGCGAATTCAAACTAAGCATTTACCAATGAATTATTGACAGATAAGTGTTCATTGCTGCATTGTCGACTGGTTACATTTGTATATATTTAGTGTGTTGGGTGTCGTCTCGGTGGTCTAGGTTTTAAGCATGCTTATACATGAAACACCGAAAGTCCTAAGTTCGACCCGTCTGAAGGGATCCTGGATACACACACCACTTTCCCTCTCTCTCTCTCTCTATATATATATATATATATATATATACTCAAATTTTCGAAATATTATATGATGAAAACTTGTTAAAAAATTTAACTGCCGCTCTAAAGTTGATTATTCCAAAAACTCTATCATCAATCATTAACCGTCGGTAAGAATACGATGATATTCTTGTGGATGTAATCATTGATGCTTATGAGAAGACAGTTATTTGCCTATATTTGAAAATGGTACACTTGATTTAAAGCCCTAAGCAATGATCGATAAACGCATTTTTTCAATCTTCTTTTTGAAACATGTCCAAACAAACAATAGACAAAGTGAATGGTAAAGTTGAAAAACCATTGAAATTGCCCGAATAAGTATCCACAACAATACACCAACTAAATTGTGTGCATCATTTAAGCCACCTGTTTAAACCATTAGATTATTGGTTATGATGTCGTATCTTTCTAGGCTGTAAAACTTAAATTTCTCTTACAATCTATTATTGGTTGATTTATTTTCACCCATCGGTATGTATGCATGATTAAAAGGCAGATTTTTTGGCAAAAAAAGTAATGTGAACAAATAACTTCTAATAGTCATGCCAAGCAAAATAAAGAAAGGATTAGAGAAAAAGTTGTTCATGAATTTGTATAGCACATGGTGAAGAAAGACTATGCCCAGAATAGTTAGTTATTAATCAATGAAAAACATTGAAAAGTACTAAGACTAACAACCCAGTAAGATAATACTGTTTTTTTTTATTCAGAATTCCATTAAAGGCACAATGATCTTGTGAAACTTGGTAACACCAGCATCAATCAACAAACCAACCTACCGGAATTGGTGAGAATCTAAATCTCCTATAGGAATTCAGTGTCACAATGGTTTTGTAATTTGAATTAGGAAATTTTGGATAATCTTAACTACAGTAAAATAAGGATGATAAATTTATGTGAAGATATTGAGAGTTAAATGAAATTAAAACTGAAAACTGAGTATATGGGTTTATAAAATATCAAGTAAGGTAGGTAAGTGCGTACATCCGATAGGGTTGAACTCCATCAGTCATGGCTTCTCACTGGAATAGGGATCGTGAATGCGCACCGTTGATGAGTCATTCCTATACCAGAATGAAACGACCATCCAGTGCTTCCAGGCTTGATCGATTTATTATTTCAACGAAACCTAAGGATCTTCGTAATTACAATGAAAATATCATTCTTGGACTGATGACACATACATTTCCATTTGTATCATCTAGTTTCATGATAAATTAATCATAGTAGAGTTACAATAAGGATAAACAGGTTTTTTGCAGTTATTCTTCTTTGGTCCCGTAATAAATAAACAGCGTACTGTTGAAAAAAAGACCTAAAAATCATGCCTTTCGTCTTGTACTCCTTCAATATCATGTATTATTGATGAGGGTACTCTTATTTGCATAAAGCACCGATAACATGATTCCACTCAAACACAGATCAATAGTCAATTCTCAATCAGTCTACAAATTCCAATCATGTAAATAAGTTTAAATGTGTATTCATCATATTTAATTGTAAAATAATGATAAAATACAAATTCACGTAACACAGACATGATTGATTGCTCATAAATAATAAACAGATTTATTTATACCACAATTGATGAATGGATATTTTTTCATGTCGAAATATAGATTGATTTCACACACACACATTGAGTGAATTAATCATTGATTTATCATCTTGTGATAATTATTTATGTTGGCTTATATTTAGAGAGAGTTTAATTAAAATAATAATCCTTAGATTTTGATACAGGGGAAACTACACTAATGAATAATCAAAAATCATAGTCACTTTCAGCACATAATGACAGTTAAAAATCGAATCCCAGAGATTGATGGACATAACAATTACTTTATACTCCAACCAGATGTGTGAATTTGAAATTAACGGTGAAATTTGATTGGCGGAGACTTTCTCTTTGCTTTCCATATATATGTTGGGGAGGTTTGTTTTGACTTAGTGATCAAGAATGTATACAATTCTAATCAGAGAATTCAAATATTTACTAATAATAATGATAATAATAATAATACATATATGCATAATTTTAGAGATCATTGAAATTCATTTACTTACTTGGTAAAAGTGTGTTCAAATCAAGCAGTGGTTGAATATCTTTGCTTTCACCCTTTTTTGTTGATTTTAGTAATGTGCATAAACGTTTTAAAGCATTATTATTAGTAGTAGTATTATTCGATGATTTGCCCAGCTAGAAAATAAACAATATTCGGTACTGTAATAATAGTAATGATAGTAGTGTTGTTCATGTCATATAATGAGATAAATATTACCTGAACAATAATTAACCCGATCTTCATAAACCTCTTCACATTTAAATACATCAAAATATCAGTTGACTAATGAATGACTTGTCTAAATATGTAATTGACTAGAATGATGCGTTTATAGGAACATGTGGAACAAGAAGAAAGGAATTTTTCGGTGTTAACTTTTATGTTATTGTAAAATAAGAACAGATTAGTTGAGCTTTAATTTTAGATAATAAGAACAAGTTTCTAAATTTTATTGTTACGTGATCAAACTTTGTCAGTCAGTCACTTACAATTTAGAACTTCGTTCGTGCGTACATCAGTTCGCCTGGAACCCCTTCGGGGCTACGGCCGATTCCAAGCCCGGATAAAGGGGGAGGGTTGGACACGTAGTTGGCGAAACCATCTCGTAGAAAACTAGCTCGCTAAAAAACGCTAACCAGTAAAAATAATTCAAACCATTTAAACTCTGCCCCGGGAGTTAAAAGGTCTTCATTTAGAAGAGTGATGGTGTCTCATAATAAAAGCCGAGTTTCTCCGGAAGTCACGAGGCTGATGCCCCTTCTGACAACCAGGGCCGTTTCTAGGTGCGTGCTCCCGAGAAGTAAAATCCACCCTCGTAACCGTAAAAACACACGAGACCGAATCGGTTACCATCAAATCAAGCTTTTGTAATAAAGTAGTATTTAATGGGAAAGTAAAGGTCATATCAGTTGAAATAAAATATGAACGAAGATGTTTGTCGATAAATGATTTGTAATAAATGCAATGTGGTCTAGTGATTCTGCTCAACACGTTGACCTAGTACTGCTAACGACCTGAGATCGATACCATAAAACTACTAGCCAGATGAACTATTGTATTGTATTTGATACATCATAAACATGAGTTGTTTTCAAATAACTTGACAATAAATAGCACTCTTGAAGGTCACTTGTTCTCTGATTATTTAAGAAATGTCTGTAGTGCATATTTTCTGCCTCATATCGAATCAACTTCCTTTGGCATCATCCAGTAACGACAAAAAATTAACATTGTTTTCTACTAGTTATACATTCCATCAGCTGAAATAGTTTTTCTACATTAAATGTAATGTAGACATTCTGAAGTTTCCAGTTAACTACTCCATTTCAAAAGCCTGCTAATACTTACTTACTTACGCCTGTTACCCCCAACGGAGCATAGGCCACCAAATAGTCCCGCTAATACTAGTCAATTCATAATCTAATATGCAATCATTACATAAGTGAACTGAATTCGCGTTTCATTCTTACAACGCAACCTTTAACCTACTGACTTAGTACAATGAAAAGTAAGTGTCATTTCAACAAACTGATTTTAATCCGGCTTAACAAGACGGGTTTAGAGTATGAAGACCAGTGAGAGATGATTAAATCAGGAACATTTTCATATTCATGTAACTGATTGGAATAATCTGTATAAGAAATAAAATTTAGTTGAAACGTTTGTTTAAACAAATTCACTTGCCTTTCTATTTAACAATCAAAGCTGACAAACAAAAACTATTCAACGGTGATAAAAGAAACCATTTGATAGAATTTCATGATAAAACTAGTTAGAAATATGATGATGATTATAATAAATTCGGAATTATTCGATTCTATTACAACAACTCCTGGACATTGAACATAGAAAAAAAAAGGAATTCAATCAACCCTATGGATTAACATAGAAAAAAAAGGAATTCAATCAACCCTATGGATTGTATAAAGTTTTTTGTTGTGTATCATTTATCTCTGTACCGTTGTTAAAATTAGAATTATCTCAATTGCAGTTCCGTTCTTTACATTCATCAAAAGGAAACAACTTACTTCAACCAGAAAAAAACTTTAAAACTTTAAGAAATTTGATTTTTGTACTCAGTTTAGCAATTAGATGAACCAGAAAAACATATGATTTTTCTATCAACATTTGTAAACAGTTGTCATTCATTGTGGAAAGAAATGTCAGCATTGTCATAAAATTGAAAATAACTAATGATCAGAAATCGAATTACTAAGTCATGTTTGATTGATCAATGTTGTTATACGGATCAAATGTTGGCAGCCATGAATTAAAATGATTGTAACGAACAAACAGACAAACAAACAAATGAAAAGACGAATTCGATATTGTTTACCTGATTAAAAACAGTCACAACAACTGATAACTGGTTACCAGCTTATCACATATATGTAAACCTTATGGCACAGATAATTCATCCGTAGGAAAAAAAATGAGATTGAAATAGAATGCTGAGATGCTGATAAGTCCTAAAAAGAAATAAAATGCCCATTCTTGATTCTACTGCTAGCCATCACTTAATTCTACTTATAAAAAATTGATAGAAGTTCATGAATTCTTTTGACGTTAGTCTGTGGTCTGTGTTGTCTTGTATAAACTACTTGGTTAGAAACATCACGATAACCATGACTAGGTTATACTGTTGAATGGCTTGGCTCGGAATCAGTCACAATGACCTAGATATATTCAATCGCTATTTCATTTTGGATGATAAATTTTACTACTGTAGTGAACACACTTGGTTGTTCTTATCATATTCTCAAGGCTCAGTTTTCTCATGACCGTTTGTACTGCGTTGTTTTACTACCTCATACCCGACATAGTTGAAATCCACTGGTCACGGCTTCGCGATAGAACTCCACGAATTCCTTCATGAAACTAGTCACTAGTGAGCGCATTTTAGTTAAGGGTTGGACCAGTTAAATTAATTTCATAGTGGTTGATCAATACATATGTTGAAGAGTATGATTGATTTTATCACCTGTCCCATTAATTTATGAGGAAATTCAATGTCACTCAGTTTAATCAATTATAATTAAGAATGAGAGCAGATTAAAAAATATATAACACATTTTTGACGCCTAACTTGGCATTAAAGTATAATAAAATCCCAATAACAGGGAAGGTAATGTATTACTTTTAGAATAAATCAAAAAGCGTTCCCATTTCCCTCAACCTATGAACTAAAAACTACTTTTAGGCTGATCCCGTAGCTGAAATTCATGATAAGTTTAACCGTGAATGGTTGTCTCTTATCAAGTAGTCTAGAGATGCTCCTTTCTACGCGAAGCCTGAAACTGGCAAATCCGACTCTGTATGATGTAGTGAATATGTATTGCAGGTAAATTAACATCGATTTAGAAATATTTTTTCAACACTCTTGAATTCAGTAGTTTGATAGATAATATTCATCAAAGACAGAAAGTTGTTTCTGCAGTACTCATCATATAGAGTAGATGAAATGTAGCACGTGTTTCGTCCTATTCTGGACCAGTCAGCTGGAGGTTGCTTCATTGCACAGTTGATGTTCACTTCATGATTCACATGTAGTTTTAAGTGAAAAGTTTTAAAAACCAATTTTATTGTATTTCGGTGAATTGTAGAGGTGATATTTTTCAAATTTTTATCCAATAGGCAGATAGATAAGAAAGAATTTGGTGGGAAATCATTGTGTAAGTAAAAATCAAAACGAAACGAAATCTTATAACTGATGACTTAAACTGAGGATGATTAAAACTACTTCAAATTCAATGTAGATTCCAATGTTAACTATGGACGCTCTCAACTTCGCTAAATATCAATTTAACTGGCAAAAATCATCTGTTATTGTATTTTATAGTGGTTAATCCTTTGAGGTGAATGAAATTTTACTTGACTAGCAGAAAACATTGCTAACTGTTTACTGAAATTCAATTAAATGGAAGATAGTTAGTTGTTAAACCTGATTATATGAAGGAATCTGAAAGAACCAGAGTACTGTTTCCTGGGTGAACCTATTATAGCAAATATCTGATTTCGATTCGCTTATCTATCTATATACATAGACCTTTAAAGTATTCTCGCATCAAACATACAAAACAATACATTCTACTCACATCTCTCTTTTTGCATTATCATGCATATACGTAAAGGAAAAATGCAATTTATCAAACTTTCTTTATTTGTTTTTGAAATTTCAACATGCGAAATTGTAATTCATTGCTTTTAAAAATTGTTTTCCTAGGGAAAAAAACTTTCATTTCATCATTTATAACTTGATACACATATATATATTCATAGATAAATTCACATATGTTTGTTTGAAATGACGAATTCAGTCTTTATCTACTAAAAACTTAGATGCTAAGATGTTATCAGAAAGAATACTACTGACAAGCAAGATTGTTAGGATTATTGGATCTGTGCGTGATATTGATTACAAATTGATCTCAGTCAGAGTATTATACGAAATCAACAAGCCCCAGACATCTGGTTAAATGCATCAGAAAAACGATTCTCCAGCAATGGTATTAGTACACCTTCAATTAGCTAACGATAGGTATGGAAGGTGGATGACCATCGTACAATCTTGTAAATTAATTCTATTGGGTACGAGAGCTCAGTGGTTCAAAGGCCTAGCGTTTGTGCCTCTAACCATTATTGAGGAGTCCCACAGAACGAAAAAGCCACCCAGTGCTTCCAGGCCACCAAAGACCATCGAACTAAGATTAGTTTGTGATTTAAAGTGGAGGTAAATTCACTCCCCTACAGTTATGTTCAAACTTCAAAAAAATCACAAAATATTTCATTCATCTAACGAAACTTATAATTAACAAAAATGAAAATGACTATTATACAAACTCTTCAATATAAAAGAAATGAAATGAAATTTGATATGGCCAGTTTTTTTGCCTTGTCATGGAATTCAAATGACTTATTTCCGTGAAAATATGCAACAGATAATATTATTATTCATAAAGCTTTTCATTTTATGGTAGGAACATTTCCAAAATGTTATTTATGGCTTTAATGAGTGAATCATGTCGCCAATCACTTCAGAGGCAGTAAATTTTGTTAGATACAATCAATTTCATTGAGAATAAATAACTTTTATTTGATCATTAGAATTAATATAATACAATAAGACTATATATAATTAGTATGAATTATTAACCAATTATAAGTTTATAGACATAATCTAATTAGAGTTGCACTTAATTTGGCCTAAAAATCTGGTTATTCAAACTGAAGTGGAAGATTAAACAGGATTTCAAACTTAATTAACTTAGATTTTATGCAGCCTACACATTGTGAATTGCTTAACAAGATTGAATTAAATAGGATAAATGAACGGGTGGTCAGTTCATCATAACTCGCCACCAAGGTTTAAAGAACGTACACTGAAACAGTAATTATATCTGTCAGTCATTGATGATTCTGCTGTTTGGTTCTCAGTGGATTGTAAAGTTTTCATGCATAACTCGGATTAGAAAGAAATAGATGAACAATATAGTGTGGCCCTTTTTTAAAATGGGATTTGTCTTGGCTTTATTTTTACTTAATTAAAACATGTTCTTGTTCATCAGTTATTTATTGATTTTAACACTTTTTCCCGTTGCTCCTCTCCCTAATATTATCATTTTGTACGCCTCGTTATTTAATGTGATGTTTTTCCAGTAGAATACACTGAGTGTAACGGTTTGTGAAGGTTCTTAAGATTCATAATTTACACCACGAATTAACTTTTTACACAAACACTCAGTGAAAATCACAAAACACTGAATGGATTTGTTGTTCTGGTATGGGACTTTTGAGTTGTGTGCATCTGCTACAAATCAAAACCAAGATGTACAGGTTTCACGGTTAGTGGTTAATCTTAAGACTACTTGGTTTATGCCCAATACCTTTCATTTTTAACTCATAACGAGTCAATTTTGACTGTAGTCATAGATGCGCAACTCCGCCAGTAGAACCTTAGGGGCTACTGCCGGTCCCAAGCCCGGATAAAGGAGGAGGGTTGGACATGGGGTTGGCGACCCCATTCCGTTGAAATCTCACTTGCCAAAAAAACGCTAACCATCATAGATACGCACTGCTCACTGGTCTCATACCATTACGAACAGATGTTCACTGTCTCATGGCTTTCATTGGTTCTCCAAATAAGGTCAGTTTGTTATGTGAACTACGAACCAGAACTAAAACTTCTAATAAAATGAAGATAAATGTCAAGTGTTCCAGTCATCCGATCAATATTTCATAAAGCATAATAATAAAACATTATTTTTCCAATCATTGTTTAACTAACTTGAAAAAATATCCCAATCACTGATAATCCATCAGAATAAGTAATGGCAGTTTCCATTGTCGCATATTTACTGTTGATAAATACACAATGTAATTCAGCTGGACAACTTATTCCATTGATCATATGTTCAGAGCCCCAGTTATTACCAGATCCCCAATGTAAATGAAATTGTGTCAGTTTATATTCGGATGACAATGGACCACCGGATAAGACTAAAACAAAACAAACATGATAGAGAAAAAAGTGGTCAGTGGCTAACTGTACTCAACAGCTAAGTAGATAACATGCTGGGTGTTTGAAATTTAAAAATATATATATATATTGAGTTCGATTTCCAGAGTGAACATTTTTATGGAAGTGATAAACAGGATGGAGTGTACTTTCGTAGATTCTGCTGAAGGATCACAATTCATATCGAAACCTATACAGTGACTTATTTCCACAGTCTAAATCTGATTGATTTACTAAGTTCGTGGATAAAAAATTTAACAATTAACTTGCTGTCAATTTTAAACTCATTTCTCTTTGTATTTATATGGAAATGATTGACTTATAATAGCTTGTGTATAACCCTATAAACAGTAGCATCATAAAAAATGAGGTCAGTCACATGTGACAATTAACTGCTATTGTGTACAATCAGACATGACAGTTGACAGTTTGAAATTCATTGCAACATACTCGTTAACTACTACTGAGCAATTCAAACAGTTTTTTTTTTTTGGAGTACATTTGGCCAAGATTTACATTTTTGCTAAGTAAATTGCATTAAAAAATGATAAAGCCAACAATATTGTCGCATGTGAATGAAATTAAGGGCAATTTATCATGATTACATTTAACGAATGAAATAAATTCCAATCTCAGCTTGTATTGAGACAACATTTAGTTGGTTGGGCGAGTATATTATGGTTGATTGGTATAGTCAATCAGAAGAGTTATCTTTTTAATAAATCAAACATCAAAACAACGAAGTGATGGTAAATTGTTTGGAAAGCTCCACTCATATTATAGTGAATGACTGAAGTAACATTTTTATCATTAAAATATCAGTTATGTTTGAATAATACTGATGATAAGCTTATCCACAACAAAAACTTCATCTTTCGGACAACAAACCAACTGACTCAAACACAAGCCAACAGAATACCTACCTAGAAATTTTCAGAAAAAAACACTGATTTATTTAAGTTGAGTAGTGTTGACTAGCTACGGAATTAATTGAGAACTCGTGTTCCATCTTGTCTCGAACTACTTGAACTGACTGGATAAAATGTTAACGTTTAAGATGGATGGTACTGGATTCGAGTCTCAGCGTGAGGACATGAAGGCTGGAATGTAGGCACATGCAGATAACTAGCTTTAATTAGGTCAGAACGTACTTAACGGATTTCATAGCTAGCCACTGTCTAGTTTTTAGTCATAGTCACAATTACTTCTGAACATATAATCCGAAAATGTTATACTGTCGTAACTACACAGCATTTTCTAAAATTTTTTAGATATTTTTTTCATTAAATAATTATCATTAATAGTAGACGTTTTTCGTAATCAAACTGTATTTTGTTATTTATTAAACTACTATGCATAAGCGTAAAAATGTTAGTGATTGGTTTTCTGTGAATTTTCTGAATTAAAACGATAAATGAAAAAAATAGGCGGACACGATCATCAATGTATGTTAGTGCTTGGATTTTTAATCATCTGTTATCTAATTAGTTAGAAGTGAAACACAATTAACTAAGTAAGTTGAAAGTCCGATTTATTCATACACTAGCGTATATACATCCATGATAATGAAATCAATATCTTTTATAAGATGATCAATCAGTGGACAGTAATAATAATGATAATAATAATAATAAATTCAAAATTGTAAGTTAGTAATCAGAAGCATGATTCAAAGAGAGCGACAAAAAACAACATAATTATAGTGTTAATTTTAACTTTTATTTAAAATAACAAGGTTGTAATAGTTTATTGTAAAATTAGGATTAATTCCGTAACCATCTCGTCAGGAATCAATCGAATTCCCAATCTTAGTTTAAATTTTTTCCATTGTTACTGTGCTTAGTAGATATCTTGATAACATCGTTGGATACCGGCTCAATGTTCCAGACGTTAAGAGTTCGCGAGCAAGACCGAAGGTCCTGGGAGTAGCAAGAATCGTGGATGTGCACTGTCACTGACGATTCCCACACCAGGACGAAACGGCCTTCGTCTAGTGCTTGTGTTCTAACACTGATCGATTCATGATTTCAAAATAATATTAACCAATCTACGTAACTGTGGACCATTCTGTTGAAATTTATTGATTAGTTTCATGGAAAACATCCATCAATTTTATATTTTGAATACACGTGGTTGGAATTCTCACTCTTATCAAAGGACCAAATACAGCTAATCATTATCTTTCTACTTCTCCTTGCTTATATCCAGTCGATTTTGATGTTAGTTTTGTGTCAAGGTATAATGTCCAAATATCGAGTCACTTCAAACAAGTGACCGTATTGTGACTTCATCGTTGACCAACTTAGTCAGTAATCAACATTAAACATTTCAACCAGTTGCAAAGCAATGAACTCAGAGGAAATGATTCAAATTATGAAACCATACGACACCAGTGTGAATCTATCAGAAAGTATCAGTTACTTCAGGATTCTAACATAAATGTAAGCTAGTTCGGAGTTTAGATTAGCACAGTTTTCCAGTGACTACTGACAACCTTCTAACACTGACAGTTGTCCATGATAAACCCTAACTTTAGAATTTAATTAATCTCCTCAAATCCTATTAACTAAGCAATAACTGAAAAAAAGTATTATAAACGCTTGTGATGATGATGATGATGATGATGATGACGATGATAGGTCAGCAATAAACTTCCGAGTTAAGATATACTGTTTAAGTGTCAACTGTTTCGAAGGAAATTTCAGCGATAAAAGAAATCATAAATGATTTCTTTTTTTTGGATTATCCGTTTACAAGAAAATCGAAATTACGGATGATAATTTGATTATAAACTTTTTAAGGTTAACAATTTTTTGCTCAGTTCACAACAGAATTTATAATCTATGTTATGCAGTTTTGAGAATGAACAATGGGGAAAGGAAATCTAAAAGAAAATAACGAGCAAAAAATAAGAAGATTTTTACCGCGATCAAATTCAGATTTTTACGAGAAAAAGGGTAGATAAATAAGAAAGTAAGATTGTATCAGCCATATTTTCTTTCGAAAAGTCAGATAGCTTACAGAATGGTTTAGATGTATTCTGTAGTTTTTACTTTATACTTGTGGTTTTGGATGTATAACTGCATGTTAATAGTTAAAGTGAAGTGATCTTCGTAAAGGTTTTCCTCAACAATTGATCGTTCACTAAGCATTGGCGAATATCGTATTTTTCTGGTCCTGCAACAGTGATCAGACTCTATAGACTAAGTTACAGCTTGTTATTAGTCGAAGTGAACTGACATTGTGTCTACTAGACCATGTCAGAATGTTAGGCAGTTGACAGCAGTCAGTCAGTATGAAACTCTGCCTGGTTTAGATTTCTCTTTATTTAGCATTTTTCATGAAGAAATACTTGTTATATTGAGGTAAATGATGCTCTCTTTAAGATTCGGTTAGCTTCACATTTTGAGAACACATCATTGGTTTTTATTCATGCCTCGATAGACCTTCAATCTTTATTCAATTAACAAATAAGCAACTAAAGAAAACTGTTAGTTTATGCTTCTGTGAACAGCTTAACATGGAGAAATAGCGAATAGTTGCGAACTTATCGCTAGATATGTATTTTCCATTATGTAAACAATGTTTATACACCTGTCCAGCTGACAGGAAATTTTAGTTGAAATTCCGTTTGCATATACATATGTCATAGAAATCATAAACGTTTATGTCAACTGATATAGGTTAGAAGCGAACTGACAGACAACAAATATTGATTAGGATGAACTATGTTGATGATAAATGTGAATCCATTTCGGTCCAATAATTCACTTCAATCTAATTTCATAGTCACATAAACAATTAGTTTACTTTTCTGCCATTTTTCCACGACATTCAATTTTTTTGTTTAATCGAATGGGTTTTTTGTTTTTGGAAATGAGTTAGAATTTGAACAGATGAGTGTCGTGATATAAATAATATCAACTAGCGAACAAACAACTAATAACAGATTCATACTACTTCGGAATTACTTAGGAGTGTACACCTCAACAGGTGTTGAACTCAAAATCTTGTTACTTTCGCTTCAGGCATAATATCTTTAAACTATTTAGTCGACATACATTCAGTTGTACAAGTTCAATTTTGATCGACTCACGAAGTCAGTGCAATTATTAATAAATACAACAGCGATGACTCTTCTTCAACTTCAAATATCGTTATTCTCTATCAGTTATAACTCTTCTTCATCAATCTATCTCAACGTTCATCATCACTGGTGAGTACATCAATACTAATTAGTTGATACTGATGTTAAAAATGAATCTCAAATGAAAATGTATTAAACTGTTCAATGCTTTTATCGTTTTCAATAGATTCTCAATTACCTCCCTAATTTTATATTAAGGATAATCTTCATAATTTAAATGATCACATTAGCAGAATGAATTTAGTAAATAATATTATCAGAATTTTTCGTTTGTTTGATTTTAGATTTCCTAAAGTAATTAAATAGTATGTTATATTTTTTCTCAAATCAGTGTAAAATATAATACAAAAATAAATTAAAAACACTTTTATGATGAAAATATTTTAGCTGAATAAATAAATTGCAGCAAATTGTTTAGTAGTTTTATTGAAAACAGTATTATTTTTATCGACAAGCTAACATAGTACTAAGTGTTTATTTCATAGAAAAATCCATTAACCTATCAGATGAAAACTTAATTAACAAAATATAATTTATTTATCTATAATAATTAATCAAATTTATTTATTGAGAATTTTTTTTCCTCTTTAATAATAACTTTAGTAACATTAAAAAATTATATTGTTTTTCTTTCATGTAATTTAATTTCAGATGATTGGTTAAGATTTGTTCAAGTTGTTCAATGATGCATTGAACATTGAAAAACATTGAACAATAAACTAACTCTCTTTAAGTCTGGCTGGCCTCAAGTTACACTGGATACACTTGAGTTGCTCACAGATTTAATCAGCAATAACAATAATCAAAATAAAGATAGTAATATACTTTATACAC